GTTTGGTATTTGTTGCTGTGATAAACACCATGACCAAAAGCAACTTGGGGAGGAAAGGGCTTATTTCATCTTACACTACTTTCATGTCTCAGTTCATCACTGAGGCAAGTGAAGACAGGAAGTCAGGACAGGAACCTGGAGGCAGAAGCAGAGGCAGAGGCCATGGAGGGTACTGGTTACTGGCTTGTTCTCCATGGTTTGTTCAGCCTGCTTTCTTATCCAACCCAAGACCACCTGCCCAGGGATGGCATTACCTGCAGTATACTGGGCTGCCCACATTAATTATTAATCAAGAAAATGTCTCCACAGACATGGCCATAGGCCAATGCAATAGAGGCATTTTTTCAGTTGAGGTGTCCTCTTCCTAGATAGATCTAAAAACTAAGCATCACAGTTGACCCTTTGTCATCTTGAATCACAAATGCATCACTACCCAACCATAGCCTTTCTCTCTTGTCTATCCCAATATTTCATGTTAATATCATCAGAATATAAAACATAGTTTAAAAGTCCCACCATCTTTAAAAATTGTCAATACTTTTAAAAAGTCTAAGGCCTCTTTAAAAAATTCAAAGTCTCTTAACTGTGGATTCCTTAAAAAGAAGAAATAAACTTATGTACTTTTTATTCTAAGAGCGAGGAACCAGCATACAGTAACAATCAGATTAAAGTAAAACCAAACTCTAACAGTTTGTCCATCGTCTAGGATTCACTCATAGTATTCCAGGACCAGCAAGGCAGTCCCTCTGCCTGTACCAGAGTTGCGCCTGCACCCGGCTCGAAAGCCCTGCCTCTGCTGGAGGGGGTCAGGTCCGCCCCTGCCCGCCCTAGACACACCTCTTTCCGTCCCATCTCCCCCCCCCCCCCCCCAGGGCACCCAGCTTTGTCTCCATAAGCTCCCACAGTCTTTCTCCTGGTCTCAGGTTCACTCTACTCCACAGTTCTGACATCTCCATGCTGGGATTTCCACTGCAATTGAGGCTGCACTTTTGCCCATGGCCTCGCCTGACCTCTCTTCAGATTCCAACCCTGCTAGACAGTGCCAACTCTCACATAATCCCCGTGACTCCTTAATGCCTTTAAAACCTGTACTATGTGTGAGACCCTTACACATTACCAGGCTTGGCTAAAGCTTGCCCTCCATGGACCACAGCTTCTGTGTCTGACCCTGAGGAAATAGTTCCTAGAAGAGTTCACCTCAAGGGCGCTCTTCTCTTATTAATCACAACTGATTTTTCAGCCCCTAGATAATACCAATAAAACAAAGTTTTCAGTTCCATGGATTCTTTTTTTTCTCATTTTTTAATTTTTTGATTTCATTTCTATTCCAACCACAGTTCTCCCTCCTACCCTTCTTTCACAACCCTCTCTCCTCCCACCTCCCTCGCTGCCTCATTCCACCATCTCTCACCTCCCTCCTAGCCCACCTCCAGTCCACTCCTCCTCATGGGTGAGGGCTCCCATGAGGAGTCAACATAGTCTGGCATAATAGGTTGGGGCAGGGCCCGGCCCCTCTCCCATGCATTAAGGCTGAGCATGGCTTCCTACCATAGGGAGTGGGCTCCAACAAGCTAGCTCATGTACTGGGATTATATTGTTGTCCTACTGCTACTGAGCATGGCATCCCTCCCTAAGGAATGGGCTTCAACAAGTTAGCTCAGGTACCAGGTTTTTATCATGGCCTTACTGCCAGGGGACCCCTCTGATAGCCCAAGCTTCACAACTGTCTTCCACATATGGAAGGCCTAGTTCGGTCCCCTGGAGTCTCCACAGTTGTAGGTCTAGAGTTCATGAGTTTCCACAAGCTTGGTTCAGCTGTCTCTGTAGATTTCTCCATCATGATCTTGACCTACCTGCTCATATGTTCCCTCCTCTGTCCCTTTGCCTGGATTCCCGGAGCTCTGCCTGGTTCTTGGTTGTAGATCCCTGCATCTAGTTCCATCAATTACTGGATGAGGGCTCTGTGATGATAGTATTCATCAAGCTGATTACAGGAGTAGGCCAGTTCAGGCATCCTCTCTACTATTGCTAGGAGTCATCACACCAACAGCCCTGATAGAATAGTTGAACTAACCCTCAAACTTCCCTCTAAAGCCAGGCCTTCATTCTCTACGTTTCCTTCAACAATATCTTCCAACCTCCCAGAGAACAGCCTATTAACTGCTGAGGACTCAATGGTTCTTCTGACCCAGAGTTCCAAAAGCTTTCACAATCCTACCCAGAATACAATCCAAGGCATAAAATCCACTTGGTCAGATCCATCACAGCAACACCCCATGTTCTTGGTACCAACTTCTGTCCTAGTTAGATTTCTATTGCTGTGATAAATACCGTAGCCAAAAGCAACTTGGAGAGAAAATGATTTATTTTGGCTTACTATTGCATGTCACAGTTGGTCGTTGAGGGAAGCTGAGGTGGGAACAGATGCAGAGGCCATGGAGGAGTGCTGCATACTGGCTTTCTCTTCATGGTTTGCTCAACCTGTTTTCCAATACAATCTAGGACCACTGCCCAAGTGTGTACCTCCCACAGTGGTTTGGACCTACCCACATCAATCATCACACAAGAAAATGCCCCACCGACTTGCCTACAGGCCAATTTGATGAGGAAAGTTTTCAATTGATGTTCCCTCAGATGACTGTAATTTGTGACAAATTCACGAAAACTAAACAGTAACATACGTTTTATTTCAGATCTTTAAAAAAAACCTTTTGTGTGTGTATGATATGTGTATATATGTAAATGAGTGTGCGACACATATATGTGTATGTGCATATATATCAGTGTATGAGGTATCTATGTATGTATGTGGTGTGTGTGCATGCGTGTGTGTGTGTGTGTGTGTGTGTGTGTGTGTGTGTGTGTGTGTGTGCATGTGAATACCACAGCACATGTGTGGATGACAGAGGACCATTTTGGGTGTCAGTCCTCCCATTCACTTTATTTAAGACAGGGTCCCTTGTTGTTTACCAGGGCCTACAGCAGGTTGGCTGTTGTGAGAATTTCTAGGGATTCTCTCCTATCTCCCTCTCTTAGTATAATCATCCAGTGCTGAGATTACAGATGTGTGTTACATGCGTGCCAGGGATATAAACTCCAGTCCTCACTCAGGCTTGCACAGCTTGTGTTTTACCCATGGAGCAATCTCCCAGTCTACACAGATCTTTTAATATAACATTTTCATATCATTGTTTCCATCTCTTAAGACTTAAAAATCAAAATTTTCTTTATAAAGATTGAATTCATAGAGAATAAAAAAGAACAGATGTTCCTACTGGGCTTTTCTGATGTAGTTATCTATTTGCTCAGGACAGGGGAGAATGATGGATTCACTTTCCTTGCTTTGATTATCTCAGCACAGAAATTACATAATCTTAACATTTAATAGGTTAACAGGGAGCTGGATATCAGGCACAACAGATTGGACTGTGAAATAGTGGTAACAACTCAAAACTAGTTAAAAAATGTCCGTGGATGTTTAATAACTGATTATGTAAATGATGACTAAAATTATAAAAACTTGGATTTTAGAAATTTGATTAATGAGTATGATGGTACATGCCTATAATTCCAGCACTCACGCTAAATCTGAGGGTCTAGAGAGTTCAAGGACACCCTGGCTACATCATGAGACCCTGCCAGAGAAAGATGTTTGGGGTTGATTGAGTGAGGAGGGCAGATTTGTTGAGAAGGTTTTAAGTTAGACTGCAAAATATGGCCCATAAATTTCATTGGCTCCTCATTATCAGCATAAAAAAAAAATCCCTAAACCTCAACATGACACACGTGCTCTCTGGCTGGTCTCTTAGTCCAGACAGATTCACCAACAATTCAACTACTGGGAATTTCCAAACACAATTTTGCCAGACCACAGAGCCAAAGCTTTCATCACTATTATTAGAATCATTATTTTGAGACAATATTGTATGTTACAGGTTGGCCTTGAACTTGCTGTGTAGTCAACTTCTAAGTGCTGGGATTTCAGGCATACACCACCATCCTGGCTTTTCTTTCTTTCTTCAACCATTTTCTACAAAAATCTCTTTTTTTCTGTCACACACTTGTCACCTATCACACAGTGATGTGTGCTTTGCTGTTTAATCCTTTAGATGATGGTGTGTTCAGGAGTTGTTAAGATCCGTGTTGTGATCTTGTTTCCCACTCAGAGCTAGCCCGATGATGTATATCTAAGGGGTTTAATAAAAAGACTAAATGGATAAAGTTCTGTACATGTGGGGACTCTCCAGACACCCTGCAGCTCTCTTCTTTTCCCTCTTAAGCTCTGTCAGCTTCAGTCAGCCTGCTTCACAACCAGACTCCTGGTATACTGAGCCCCAGTCGCTCAGATTTCTGTTAGTATTCCTGTAGACTGTACAGTCAAGTCTATGCCACCACTTCCAGACTCACAGGTTGTGCAAGTGACACTGAGCATCATCTATCTTGGCTTTTATTCTGGAAAAAAAGCAGAAAGGTCAAGTTTTTCAGAAAGCAATTTCATGTTTGACAGGAGAGTTAAGTATGTATACCTTATGATGCCCTTCTCAGGCTCCCACAAAGCTGACGATGCTTTCAGTTTAGCTTCTTTAATTACTTTTCCATTCGCCGTTCTCATCAGGTCAAAGTAGTGATTTGGAATCCAGAGAAATTGATCTTAGGTTGGGTCAACTAACATTTCCTGAACACCCAAGTATGTATAAAAACAACTAAAGGTCTAGAAGACTCAGGAGTGCACAGGTTGAAATGCTTGTATTCTGGGGAGCAGGGGCTAGCACATGCCCAGCTGATCATAATAGTTGTCAAATATGGTATGCATGGTAGATCTTTAGAAGCATAAAGGGAAGATTGTAAGGAAGGGGAGAGGATGCCTGGGGTTTGGAAACTGGGAAGGACGTCCTGGAAGTCATGGCCCTGAAACAGAGCACAGAGTGCACTAACAACACACGCTTGGCTTGGGTAATCTGTGGAAGATTTACTGAATGCTTTTTTCCCACCATTTTTAGGCAGCTTGGATTTTGAAAGCACGAGCACTGACTGAAATGGTGTACATAGATGAAATCGATGTGGATCAGGAAGGGATTGCGGAAATGATTCTGGATGAAAATGCGATTGCCCAAGTCCCGCGTAAGTACTTGTTCAGTTAAGTTAAAGGAAGGATACGGTATATAAGAGAAATATGTGTGTGTGTATATGTATTTCTGTATTTTATATAAACACATATATAATGGGAGTGGCATAGGGTCATGATATAGCCAGTATTGGAGGATGATCCTAATATATGGTGGTTTGCTGGTAATTTATTGGTTGTTAAGATCTTCTTTTCCTCCTTGATTTGCTAAAATAGGTGAATTCTGGACACAGTCTTTTATTTGTAGACTCAATTAACTTTTGAGTCTAGAACCATCGATTTAGACTTTAAAGCATGCTAGTTTTGAATCAGAATGTAAGCTCTGCTAACTGGTGACCTGCTAACTTAATTCCTTGAGCCCCTGGGCTTAGTACTAAACCTGCCTTACAGACTCCTTGTTGAGACTGAGTGCTAACACGAGTCACATGATAAGGGCGCAGTTGGCAGAACACAGTTCAAGAATGGAGTCATGAGATTTCTGAGTGCTTGTGAGAAAACTCCAAGAAATCAAAACAAGAGCTTTATGACATCAGTTTCTTCAAAACTCAGAATTGTTCTTGGAATGTGTTTTCTTGCTCCTCCCAGGTGCAGCGGATTGTAATGAGTCTACTTCAGCTGCATTATTCACATGTCTATGGAAAAACATGTTTTTGCCACGGGGGGCTTGTCCTTGTGGTTGAACATCTTGCTCATATGATCCTTTTAACCCTCAGGGTATAAATTGTCTGATGCTCTGAATAAAGTTGGCTATTTGTGAGACTTAGCTTGCCTCATTTTTAGGTCCTGCTCTCCCAGGTAGATGCCACCAAGTAGAGTGGTAAACACCACTGAAGATGAGCCTCAAACCCATTTTCTCAAAGCATTTTCTGCTATAAAGTCTTCCCAGGCCAGGACAAATCTGAAAATGAAGTTGCTAAGTGTTTCTAAAAGTTCATAAGTAATATATATTGATTACCATCCCATCTTCTAGGCCCTGGCACATCTCTGAAGCTCCCTGGAACTAACCAGACCGGAGGACCAAGTCAAGCTGTCAGGTCTGTATTTTAGTTTCATTCCCCTGTCTCCAAATCCTAAGGAGACATATCCTGGATTATCTTGTTTGTTTTATAACAACTGTCAATCTCCACAGGCCAATCACTCAAGCTGGAAGACCTATTACAGGTTTCCTTAGGCCCAGCACACAGACTGGAAGGCCGGGTACAATGGAACAGGCCATCAGAACACCCAGAACTGCTTACACAGCACGACCTGTCACTAGCTCATCCGGAAGATTCGTCAGATTAGGGACGGTAGGTTCTGTCAGCTTTCCCAGAACCTTGTGTTACCCAAGTAACTTTATGCCCCACTAGTATTACTAGAATTAAATGGAAACTTTGAAGCTAATTCTTATCATTTTATAATTTCTATAAATTACTATAATCTTTATGCAGATGAAACTCTATGTTACGAGAGAAAGTTTTCAATTTCTTTTTCTCTCTCTTTCCTCTCATAGGCTTCCATGCTTACAAGTCCTGAAGGACCATTTATAAATTTATCTAGACTGAATTTAACAAAATATTCCCAGAAACCTAAGTTGGCAAAGGTATGTGCTTCAGAAGATCCTAAGTTATGAAGTAATGATAGAAGTATGATAACATGGCTTTATAGGAAATGGAGAATTTAGTTATCGTAACATGCAAAAATTCTTTGTCTTGAATTAAGCACAATCTATCAGAAATAAGTACATATATAATTATTATAGGAAAATATTTTTTGTTTGTTTTGTTTGAGGCAGGGTTTCTCTGTGAAACACTCCTGGCTGTCCTGGAACTCACCAGGTAGACCAGGCTGGCCCTGAACACGCAGAGATCCACCTGCCTCAGCCTCCCCAGTGCTGGGATTAAAGTTGTGCACCACCACTGCCTGACTGGAAAATCCTTTCCTCTGGTTAATGACAATAATTTACAACAAAGAAAGCAGAGAGGCAGGACCATCTTTGCAGAATGAAGCTTGAGGATGTGGGTGTGTTTGTTCTACAGCTTGGACTATTCTCAGAAAAATAATTTTCAACTCTTGTATGATATAAGGGTGATAAAAAGGATGGAGAATATATGTATGCTTAATTAGTAATTAGCTGGGCCCCTCAGTGTTACTCAAGCCAGACAGCAGCCAGCAAGCCAACTACCTAAATAATTCCCATCTCTCTGAGTATTCCCTTAAATAAAGAGAGAATTAGAGGCAGAGAGCAGGTGGATAAGGGAGCAAAAGTGGGGAGAGTGGAAAGAGTAAAAAGAAACTAGAAAAGTAAAAGCACAGAAAGGAAGACATACAGAACTTTTCTATTGTGAAAAACTAGGGAGTGAGGGGTCATGAGAGATACTGCTCAACTGGTAAAGTGCTGGCCTCACAAGTATGAGGGCCTGAGTTTGTTCCCAGAGGCTACATTAAACCGCTGGGTATGGGCTTAGTGGGAATAGGTGCATGCCACCAAGACTGATGACCTGGATTCAAAACCCAGGACCCACTCGGTAGAAGGAGAGAATTGGCTCCCCTAGGTTATCCTCTGATTTCTTCATGTATGCTGTGACATGCATGTATTAGCACACACATATAAATAAACAAATAATTTTTTAAAAAAAAGCTATGTATGGTGGCGTGGTGGTTAGTTTTAATTATCAAGTTGGCATAATCTAGGATCTCCTAGGAAGAGCCTTAATGAGAAATTACTTACAGCACGTTGACTGGTGGCCGTGTCTTTAAGGGATTGTTTGGCTTGTTAATTGATGTAGAAGACCCAACCAACCCACTGAGGGCAGCACTATTCCCTGGGCATCGGCTCTTCAACAATATAACAGAGGAGAGAGCTTTCTGAGAGCAAGCAAGGGTCCATGTGTTTATTTTTTCTCTACTCTTGACTATAGATCCAGTGTTTTTAGTTCTTGCCCGAACTATGCTGTGCTAATGCACTTAACTTGAAACTATAAGTCAAATAAATTCTTTTCTTCCCTAACTTGCCTTTTGCCAGGGTATACTATCATATCAACAGAAGTGAAAGTAGAATGGGTGTCTTACTGGCCAGCCATCTTATCCTAATCAGTCAAGGTGCCCCAGGCCAGTGAGAAACTCTGTCTTAAGAAACAAGTGGGGCTGGAGAGATGGCTCCGTGGTTAAGATTACTTGGTGCACGGTCATGAGGACCAGAGTTTGGATTCCAGCACCCACATAATAAGCTAGGTGCCCCACTCACACACGTCACCCCAGTTCTGAGGTGAGTGGAGACAGGAGGATTTCTAGGGCTTTATGGCTTCCATCTTAGTCAAGAAAAACATAAGCTCCAAGTTCAGGGAGAGGAGAACCTGCTCAGAGGAAGAGGTAGAGTGATCGAGTAGAACACCTGATGCTTGCCCCTGGCCTCTGTGTGTGCAAACAGGTGTCCTCCCACTCCCAACCCCCACCCCTGCCACCATGCATCCACACACACACAAATAAATCTTTGAACAAAAACAAGGTGGGTATGCTTGAGTAAGAACAACAGTTCAGGTGCCCTCTGGCTGGCTTCCACATACCTACAGCCCCTAAAAGCAAAATGAAATAAAACCCCAAATTCCTTAGGGGAATAGCTTGGAACAAATTGCACAAGAAGAACACTTGCTTTCTGGAAACACACTTTGCTCTAACCCAGCAAACTTAGCAGAAATTTGTGAACTTCCTTGTATGAGTGCTGAGTTCATTTCTAATTGCTGTCATTTCTGGGGTAATTAGGAGAGGAATGCCATTTGGTGGACTATATCAGACCAGAAAAACACTAGTGACTTCTTCACTTCTTCTCTCGACAGTAGTACTCTAGTCACTGGCATTTAGAATACTGTAAAGCTTTAGTCACTCCCCTTTTCTTCAGGTGTGTAGAGTAATGAATAGGCATTCCTGTGGAATACTTGGGTTCCCTTCCTTGAGGCGGCTGGCTGGCCAGTTTTCAATGAAAGAGTGTAGCCAATGGATTCATTTCCTGCAGTGGAGTAAGATACATCGGGGCAGATGAGATTCTTGTGTTCCTTTAGTGTGCTATAGGGACGTCACCAGGTTTTTCACTTTGACCCCCCACCCGCCTTGCCTTGCCTCATCAGAACTTCTTTAGCTATGGGATGTCTATGGTAATTGACCCCCACCCGCCTTGCCTCATAGAACTTCTTTAGCTGTGGGATGTCTATGGTAATTGACCCCCCTTGCCTTGCCTCATCGGGACTTCTTTATGCAGTAGGATATCTATGTGATGCTCAGACACCCATACTGCTTGAGTGCTCTGAAAGCCTTTTCATGGCAGCTGACACCACTGCACTTTGAACTTTTTTTTTTTTTTTTGTAATAAGAAGGAAAGGATTGCTATCAATTGGGATTTGGTTGTTTAGTTTTGATGGGTGTTCCTGTTAAGCCAGGGTCTTAGTAAGTAACCCAGGCTGGTCTAGAATGCCTGCCTGTTCTGAAGGCTTTAGCCTCTTGTGTGCTTCCTTTGCAGGTGTGCATCACTGTGCTCGACACTTTCTTCTTTCTTTCTTCTTTTGTTGCTGTGCTGAGGATCGTATCTTGGGCCTTATTCAGTCTTCCCCTCCCTTCCTCTCCCTTCCTCCTTCCCTTTTTCCCTCTCTGCCTCTGCCTCAGCTTCCAGTCTCCTCCCCATTCTTCCTTCCCTCAATTCCCCCCAACTTTGTTTCTTTCTTAAGATAGTGTCTGGTGATATTCTGGCCACAGCCCCCACTACCACAGAGTATTACAAGTCTGTGCCATCAGGCCTGGATTCTTTTTCTTCATTTTTGTTGCTTCTGTGTCACTGGGTGTTAACAGCTGCGACATCTCCCAGGGTCACTAATAGGTGTTAAAGACTGACATTCCAGACAGGGTCGTGGAACTAAAAAGTAATCCATTAATGCTTGCTTGTCCAGACGAGCAAGGTCAATATTTGAAAACACACCTTTCAGCCCTGGCTGGAGACTAGAGCTATCTGGAGGCTTTACAAACTGCAGCGGGGAACGGCCCCCACCATCTATACCTCCTGGTGTCTGATTTAACTGGCCTGGTCTGGGCCCTCTTGTGTGATTCCAGTGTGCATTTGGGCTGTGTAGCCCTCTGTTAAGAAACCTGAGGAGATGGCTTTGAAAAATTAAGCAGAAAATTCTGCTTAACATTTATATTCCATGTTATTTCAGAAGGGATACCCAATTTCCCATGTGTCAAAATTAAATAATAATCTCTATAATATAAAGAGAGTATCCAAATTGGGTGAAACCTTCATGACAATTGTAAGTCTTTAGAAAATAAGACAAACTTCTTTTGTCTTGTTTTAATAAAATAATGTATATAACATAAAGGAAAAAGGTTCAGTTCTTTGAACTTTCCAGTTTATTGTCTGTAAAAACAAAATTCATTGTGAGTTGCAGAATTTTATAATGGGTTACTATGACAAATGACAGTCACATTTATTATTTACCAATTCCTAGCACTTTAGAGTATCCTGTACTCTAAGTCAGCTAAGTTTTGAGTTTCCATATAACAATAACAAAGTGCTTTATTAAAATAAAACTGAGTATGTTTTGACATTTTGTCCTTTCCAGGCTTTATTTGAATATATTTTTCACCATGAAAATGATGTTAAGATGGTAAGTGACAAATTCCTGTTATTTTCTTTCATTGTAATTTTTTAGGCTTTGGAGCTTTAGATTTTGAAATGTTCTATTTCTTTCCTTAAAAAAATGGAATCATTAAAAATTAGAGGAACTGAAAGTTTCAGTTTTGGTGGGGACATTTGTATAAATATAGAAATGGTAAGAATTTTGCATGGTTTGTAGATTATGTAGCTGTCGTTAAAGGGCAAGATAACTAAGAATACCATATGCCTGTCAAAATGTATTCTTTATGCTAATAGTACTACTGGTTCATTGTATTTTTTTTTAAACCACAGAGTATTAGAAGTTTACTAGCATGCATTTCTGCCATCTTCTGCCCCTCTCACCCATGAAGGTAGAAGTAATAACTACACACACAAAAGTAGAAATAATAACTTAAAGAGCCCATGTTATTCACCATCTAGCTCCAGCTGTAGTCAGTTTTCACGGCACCTTCTCAGTAATGCATCTGATTTTCCAAATTTGTTTCAATTTAAATAAGCCAGTATGCAGATGAGGAGAAAACTCATGAGGTTGTTTAAGTCAAATGAAGGCAATTCTGTAATATCAGATAACAATTTCCCCATTTTCTTATAAGTCCAGGAAAAACACTATGTTCACATGCTGAGTGTGCAGGAAAATACTTCCCACAGGTGTGTCTTCTGTGTGTCAGCCACAACTCAGTGTACAGGGCAAGCTAACGAAAATATGATACTGCACCTGCTTCTGTAAGCTGTCTATTCTGAGACAACAAAATTGACAAAAACTGTCACTGGGTGTGAGGTGTGAGGTATGAGGTGTGAGGTGTACATTTTCGGTCACAGCCCTCAAGGAGCTGAGTCAGGAGAATTGTGAGTTAAGACTAGTCTGAGCCACAGAGTATGTCTGCATGTGTTAAAAACAAAAACAAACAAGAGTAGATGACAGACTGAAGGTAGCCAAGGGAAGACATAGGTGGTGACCCACGCTGGCAAACATCTGCCAGTGAGTGAGCAGGGTTTCATGAGAACGAGGAAGAAGAATGGAAAACCCTGAACAGAGACTGGAATGAGAGCTGAGTAAGACTTACCTTCAAAAACAAGGGCCCCAAAGAGACAGTTTAAAGAAACGACTGAACTTGATGATAGGTTTGATGTTGTGGGCAAAGGAAGGAGACACCTGATGGGGGAAGTACGTCTATGTATGTTTATCTTATTGATTGTTTAATAAAGTTCTGCTTGGCCAATGAAACGGCAAGTTAGGCAGGACTAGGAGTCAAAGAGGATTCTGGGAAATGTAGTAGAGAAGTGGTCATCCAGGAAGGAAGTGACATAGTAAGGAGACTCATAGTTAAAGAAGGAGAAACAGGAAGAGCCCCTCTTGCCCCTTCGCCTCCTCTAGCAGCAGGATGTGATCCCCCGGCAAGGAGGGACGCCAATAAGGCATCCAATAAGATAAGTCTTATAAAATATATAGATGTATGATAATTGAGACTGAACTAACAGACGAGAATCTTAGTCATTGGCCAAGCAGCTTTGAACCTAATACAAGTTTCTGTGTATTCATTTGGGCCTAACTCAGGCGGGCAGCTGGCGTAAAGCTCACACGTGGCAGTGGGGCTCAGGCAGCTTTTGTCGGAAAGATTTATCGTAACAGACACCAGTCAGAGATGCCACCTGAGTGTGCGGTGAGGGTGATAGCTTTACTAACAGACATGGGATTGACTCATCAGTTTATAAAGCAGCTGCATAATTGTTTGTGTTTGAAATGACGAAAGCTCTCAGTGTGGGCATACAATTGTATGCACTGAGCAGTAGGGAGGGTACAAGTGTCTGTCTGAGAGCCCAGGCTGGATACAGAGAACGTGGGACTCACCTGTGATGAAGAAGGCAAGTGTGGGGTCACAAAGGGAACAGAGGAGTCTAAGGTTAGCCCACCAAGAAACCACGTGCATTTCTGTAAACAGAAGAACCCCATGATTTCACTTACTATACGGCTCACAAAGGCTTTTAATGGGATGATATGTAACACTGCCCAAATCTACTCCATTTCACAGATGAGCCAATCTCTGATTATTAAATTGTCACAAATCTGGTTTTAGAAGGTTTCTTCTTTTTTCTTTTCATGACTCTCAGTCATGCCTGTGCCTGCCAAGTGCTAGAATTACAGGTGTGTGCCACTGAGGGACACAGTGTGCCAGTCACCATTTCAGTCCTGAGATGGAGGACAGAGGGAGGCAGGCCAACCCAAGTCTTTGCTCTTTATATCTAAATCTGCAAATTATATTCTCATTGACCTAGAAATAGAAATGCAAAAAGGGCCCTTTTTCTTAATTACCTGTGTAATTTAATAGCAGTGATGTGTGGGTTTGTGCTACACTTCCAAAATCAGAATCCCCATGGGAGGCTGCTGACCCTGCTGCTATTAAGAACTCCACAGGCAATGTGAGTTTTCAGTGATGATTGGGAACTACTGCTGTAGAGCATATTCTGGAATTATAGAAGCACTAGAAAACATTTATCCAAACGTAGGAAATAGAGTTGAGGACCCTTGGCAGCATTTGAAAGCTTGAATTCCATATAACAACCTCACCAGGGAAGGAAGTTCATTAAAAGAAATTAGTGAATTAATAGAAAAAAATAGCAAAATGACCTTTAAATACACCCGAGGAACAAGAATATGATGCAAAATCTTATTGGGAACCAGAGTCTCCATTTATAAATTTTATAAGATTATGTTCATGAATAACAAAAGACTTAATATATTCAAAACAAGCAATGCTGAACAAAATTCGAAACTCTTTGCAGTAGATCTCTTTGAATGGTTAAATGACAACTGTGGGAGCTTGTTTGGAGACATTATTTTGGACGTTGGGTTGATGAGTTATTAAGCAAACACAAGGACTTGAGTGTATTCCCCAGAACTCACATGGTGGCATGTGCTTCTAATCTCAGTGCTGGGGAAGTGGAAATGGGCACATTCCCAGGGGCTTGCTGGCCATCTTACGTTAATAGGTGAGCCAGCCTAGAGACCCTGTCTCAGTAAAAAGGAAGCTGGCTCTGGTGGGATGACACTCAAAATTGACCTTTGCTGCTTTCCTCATGCATGGACACATGCAGGTTTGTATATGCACATACAAACACGCGGAGTTCAGCAGTTAAACCACTTCATGGGTTAGATTTGTGAAGCAATGGCAAACGTAAGAAGTTGACTGGTTCTTGCATACAATTTCTATATAGCGGTTACAAGGCAAAAATGTACCTACAGGGTGATTTTAAATATTGCTTGTTACTTTCCTGGCATAGATTCGGTATGTATATGCTCATTCATGCGTGTATGAGCACACATACATGTGCCATTGTGCTTGTGCTTGCATACACTTGGAGGCCGATAGCTGATGTCAAGTGTCTTCCTTGGTCACCATACATATTGAGGCAGAGTCTCATGCCGAACCTGGAGCTTGCCATTCCAGCTAGTCTAGCACACTAAGAGGGTTCCCTGTCTTTGCCCCATACTAATCTCCCCCGTGCCTTGTGATGTGGGATTACAGACAGCTCATCACACGAACCCACCTTTTATGTGGGTTCCAGGGATCCAAACTCCTGGTCGATTTACCCAGAGAGTCATCTCCCCAGGCCTTAGAGAGCTTCTTACGGACAGAGAAATGACCCAATTACAGATAATTTGGGCACAATAGCAGGAAGCAGTTACAGTACAGATGTATTTTCTTGCTGACAAGAAATGTAAAATAAAGGACTTTAAATGTTTAGGAACAGTGTCATAAATTGTTACAAGTTATAGATAATGTTGTAAAAGGTGTGATTTAGAAAATACCATGGTAAAAGGAAACAGATAGCCATAAACACATTTGCTTAATTTATTCTGTGATTTCAGTTCTCAAAAAAATCGTCAGGAAAAATAGCTGTATTTGTGATGATCATTATAGTAGTAGATACAGTAGCAAAAATACTCATAAAGCAACATAAATGCTCAGTGCTGGAGGACAAATTTGATGTTATAATGAACAGCAGAATGCGCTTTTCATGCAGCCAGTAAGATAATAGTTACCAAAATCATAAAAATCGCAAATGTTTATTTTCTAATATTAAGTCAAAAAGTATCCATTGAGGATGCTAAGCAGAATCATAACTAAATACATGTTTACATATACTTAAGACAGATACTTGGATGTATTTCTTGAGACTAGGTTTAAGATGTCTTCATTTCATGTGTACTTGTTGAATGCCCACAATGCATCAGCCTCTTGGATTACAGTATAGAAACCAGGTCGGCCTCATGGCTCTGGTGGAAATTAAGCTCCATTTTATCTTCCTTTTTAAACTTTTCTTAAGTTTCCTGATTTAATAGCAATCTTTGCTATTATAAATTAAGCACCTCAATAAATTTAAATGTTCATAATTGGGCTCTTGTTTTTTTTTTTATGTTCTAGTTTACTCTAGCGTAGAACACTCAAGGAGGTAGCTCTTTTCATTTTTACTTCGTGGAAAGTACAGACTTTCCCTTCCTGTTTGCACTTGTGAGATGACAGGTTTATTCCTTAAGCATATAATTACTGGAGTCCTTGCATTGATCTTGTGATTGGCTGGAGGAGCGCTGAGGACATATGCCTGGGGCTGTTTCCCTGCTCACACCAGCTCGCACGCCCTCACACACGTGCTTATGTCACACCAGCTCACACACCCTCACACACGTGCTTATGTCACACCAGCTCACACGCCCTCACACACGTGCTTATGTCACACCAGCTCACACGCTCTCACACACGTGCTTATGTCACACCAGCTCGCACGCCCTCACACATGTGCTTATGCCACACCAGCTCACACGCTCTCACACACGTGCTTATGTCACACCAGCTTGTACACTCTCACACACGTGCTTATGTCACACCAGCTTGTACACTCTCACACATGCTTATGTCACAACAGCTCGCACGCTCTCACACACGTGCTTATGTCACACCAGCTTGTACACTCTCACACACGTGCTTATGT